GACAGAGAGAGAAAAGGAATGGAGGTAAAAGAAAATGAAAGAGGAAAGGAGAGAAAAATAAGTGATATGATGTGAAAGGAGTGTTAAAGAAGGGAGGAGGAAAGGTAGAGAAGGAAACAGGAAGAAAACGAGAAAAGGAAAGCTGAGGGAACTAAAGCAAAGGAAAGGACAGGAAAGGAAAAGAAAAAGAAAAGGAGGAAAGGAGTGAGGCGAAAGGAGTGTTAAAGAAGGGAGGAGGAAAGGTAGAGAAGGAAAGGAAAAGATGCAAGGAAACAGGAAAAAAAGAGTAAAGGAAAGCTGAGGGAATGAAAGGAAATTAAAAGAAGGAAATGAAAGGAACGGAAATTAAAAGAAGGAAAGGAAAGGAAAGGAAAGGAAAGGAAAGGAAAGGAAAGGAAAGGAAAGGAAAGGAAAGGAAAGATTGCTTTAGTGCTGTGTTGGTCTACTTGAAGAGTCTGTGTTTACTGGAAGGGGAGCAGGGGTTGATTTGAAAGGTTTGACCTTTAACCTTTCAATAATGCTAAAAGTCCTGTGTGATGTTTGTGAGTTTAAACTGTGACTTTGTAAATGACATGGTCTCATGTAAGACAGGGTTACATCAGCAGTGCTAGCTTTAGTACAGTTTCTTTGGTCTGTGTGTGTGTGTCTGTGTGTGTGTGTTAGCCTAACAGTCAGTGCCCTGTATTTGTGTGTGTCTGTGTGTGTGTGTGTGTGTGTGTGTGTGGTGCTGCTCCTGCAGACATTTCATCACAGCCCTCTGACAGTCTACTTCCATCTTCCCAGCTTGGTCCCAGAGTGCTTCACCTAGCTTGTTCACCAGCCATCTGCAGTGCTGCTCCACCCCCTCCCTCCGTCTACAGCGGGGCTGTACGTCTACATATGTAACGAAGTGGTCCATGCTGCGCACCGGCTTTTATAAAAAGAGACTTCCAGCAGTGCTGTGTCAGGAGAACTGCAGTTATAAAGTTATAAAGGCTGTCAACATGTGGTACATTATCCAGAGCTGCCACAGACGTTCTCTTGTTCAGTTTTCACATTACTGAGAACAATCTTACCATGTTTAACCAGGACATCTGATTCTTCTGTCCAAACTAAAGAGTCCATAGAGTCAAAAGATAAAAGAATGTTGAATTTACAGTCCTGAGAGGTGATTCTAAAACACTTTCTTTGTAGATGATTTAGGACCTTCAGTGATGCGGTGTCAAGAAGTGTTTTTTTGGCACAAAAAATAAATGCAAATACAGTACATATTCCTGTACATCAGTGGGAGTTGGTTCCACCTAAGAGGCTTAAAGCAATTCCCAAGGGTTCACTGCAACACGTGGATATAAAGCTTTCTGATGGAGAACAAGTACAAGTTACGGCACTGATTATCAACTGGTGGCCTGTGGGCCGAATCAGGCCCACTGAACCATTCATTACGGTCCAGGACTGGATTCCAACATAAACATCAAATAATAATGTGTGACAAAAATGTGATTTTTATTTGATTTTATTTGAGTTTCTGGCCTCCCCAAGGTGTCTACTCTAAAATTCTGACCTTCTGACAAATACAGTTGGTGACCTCTGGGTTGATGTAAATCAAATACCTCATTGACCTAAAAAGGTTGGCCTAAAACCAACTGATTACACAGTCATAATCTCACCCTGTACTGTTATTCATCACAGTACATCAAATATAGAGTCTTGTTTGGCCTTTAATTCTCCCACTCTCCACCAACAACCTCACAAAAAAAAAATCCATGGCTCAGCTGAGAGCACCGGTTGGTTAAACACACCTTATTTCTACCTCACTTTGCGGTTGTGAGTCAGATTGTGTAAATATCCAAATCTTTACTCCTTAAATCCCTGTCTTCAAGTGTAGTACAAGGCCACTCAAAAACAAGCACTGGGTTCTGCTGGGTCGAAAATCATTCATATTTTACAAATGTTCTTAACCTACAACATTTCTGGTGCGTCCTCATCCTGAACTCCTGGAGAAAACTCCTCTGTTAAACAAGCACATCACTTTTCTACAACGAGGCCAAGGACAAGACGTGTCTACAAAATTAAAGGAAGTGCATCACAACTAAGAGGGAACCACAATCGTTGTTGTCTCCGAGAGAGTCAACTCCCAAACATCGAGATGACAAACGGTGTTAGGTTCTCAGACAGCCGTCGAAAAAGGCTTCAACAAAAACAAAAAGTTGTTCCAAGAAGTCTCCCACAGATAACAGGAAATCAGATCTAAATAATAACACAGGGATGACTCGACACGACTTTTTGTTGTCTGATACCGATACTGCAACTCGGAGTATCTGCCGATGCTCCTCCAGCATGCCACGGGCTGTTGTTGCGGAGACAACAGTTCACGGCATGTTATGCAAATTTGAAAGTTGAGTCAAAGATGAAAAGTTGAAAGGTCAAAAATGAGAATTTGGGCTTGGATTTCAGATTTTTTTTGTTGTTCAAACCTGAAATTTTGACCAATTTCGATCAGAGTATTGGACCGAGCCATTCCTAAAAATATCAATTTTTACAATCAATACCTTTTTGATCATTCTTTCGTTTATCAATTTGTCAATCAAGATTCTCAGCCCATTGTATGTTAATTTTTGTTTATTTCAGTTTATTCGTGGGAAATGCTCACCTCTTCAAACCTAACATTTTCCAGCTGAACCACATTTTTTTCTCTCCATCTCTTAATGGCTTTGTTGATTTCATTGTGGCTCAGAGTGGGTTCACGCCAAGACATTGGCTCGTGATTACAATATGGATCTACTTCCTAATCAAAGGCTACTTCTAGTTTACAAATGAGGAAACCGTGATCTGTGGTAAGACATGGCTCCTCCTGACCTCAACTGGATTTCATTTATTGGTGGTTAATTACAAAGGTCCCCGCCATGTAGGATAGGAAGAGAACAGAAACAAAGTAATCCCTCACAGTTAACCCACGGCTATCACTAGCTAAAGCAATTAGGTGAAGGGAGCTCGCCAGGTTGTTGACAATTAAATTGAATATACAACATTCAGAGGTATCTTCCCACCCCAGGAATCAAAAGACTCCCATCAATAATACATTTTTTGATTTGTAAAATAGATGGGAACTGTCTATTTGTGGGGGAAAGAAATGTGGCCGAAAAATGGAGTGATTAACAGATCGAACGATCGCTCCACTTGTCATCTTCATGGAGTGTTGAAGACCTGAACTACAGTGCCACCCTGAGGACGTTATGTAACTTTTAAAGTGGTCATTAAAGCAACTGATAAAATGGCGAATAAAAATTATCAACGGACAAGACTCGTTAAGAGGAGAGATCATACAGATGCAGATGCAGGTCAGAGTCTTAATCACGTTCCATCGCTTGCGTTCTAACAGGCCGTCACGTTATAAACAAATATACAGTTTATCGGAAAAACAATTTAACGGGAGAATGTAAGAGTTGTCCTTTTTATAAAAACAATACATAACATATTAGTTAAATTATGATATAATAATTTAACACACACTGTGCTCTTATTTTACAGTGGCGTATTCAGCTGACCTTGATGTACTTTACTCCAAGTGATAATACAGTACAGTATGTACGAATATTTCAGTCTCTTTCTCTATCTTTTTGGTGATAAATCAAAAATCACCCTGGCACTGAATAATAGAATACAATAAAATACATTTCTAGTTCTCCTGAACTCACAAATAGTAGAGAGATTTGAAAGTGCCTCTCAGTTGTAGGTACAACAGAAAGTCATATTGTAAAAATTCAGACACAAGTAGACAGGAAAAGTAGCAGAGTGACGTGGTGTATCGCAGACTTTCCGCCGCACCGCAAAAATTAAGCCCAGCTCATGAAAGGGCCAAATTTCTCTCTGCACCAGAAAACAAAGAACTATAACAACAACAACGACGACAACAACAGAAACGACAACATGGCGCATCAGCCTATCACCAACGTCGCAGGCCTGCGTGTTGTTCGAGGCTCATCAGCACATAGAGATGTGAAAAGGAACAAAGCAGCCTGCGATGCTTTGATGATCAGACATTAGCCACGTTCGCCCACAGAGATCGAGGGGAAGAAAAACTAAGAAGAAAAAACCCATGCAGAATGAGGTTGGATTTGAGAAAGAAGTAAACGAAAAGAAGGATGTAAAGCTGTGAGCTTATGGTGTTCGTCAATATTTCACATTTTTACTTCAACTGCTGAACAAAGCCAAAGGATGGCAGGACTGGGTTTAAAATTGGTGTCAAAACCACAGCTACTTGTTTCCATTGGGGACCTCTTTATAGTATAAACAATGACTGACAGACTTTTATGATGCGTCCCATTCCCAGGACTGCATGTCACCACTGTCTCTTCCGTCAACCTCCCCCCCGATGGAACCGAGGTGAAAGTCAAAAAGCATTACCGAGGTGGAAAATATGTTAAAGTAGCTCGTCTTAACAGCTCTGACAATCAAAATCATCCTTGAAGGACAGACAGTCTCCTCCAGCTGCTTTGACTCGTCTTCGTGCTGTCACATGCATGAATTGCGAGGGTGCGACATGCAATTCATCTGCATAAATGTGGCACAACATGAGCCCGCGCCGCAGGGAGGGCTCGGGAGAGGAGTGTGCGGTGTGAAAATGAGATCACACATGTCTACACATGTCACGCTTCCCTTCGCACACACAGACCGCATGTGTATACTGTAAACATACGTGCAGATTTACTCAAATATGCATACAAGAAGTAGAGATCAAAATGAAAGGAGAGCACACACAGTCCAAGGGAAATAATTCCACTGTCAGAGAGTTGCAAATGAGGCAGAAAAACAGGCCAGAGGTTGATTTTATGTGAACTTGTACTCGTGAACCAATAAAGAAAAATCCCACGTCTCACCAAGCACGAAAACATCACTCAGCGAACGGCAGAACTTTTTAGCAGACAGGCATCAAAGGCCCACAATACCCTTAAATTTGACAGCACATTAAAAAAAAAAGGAGCTGTGTTTTAAAGTAAGACGGAAAAAAATACTGCACTCACCGATGTACTCGAAGACGTAGACCACGAAGAACGGCGTAACCAGGTCATTGATTCCCTGCACGTAGCCACTGGCCGGGTGACGGATGGCCCAAATGAAGAGGATGCGCTCAAATATCTATAAAAAAAAACAAACAAACAAACCTATATGAGTCTTCTTTTAATGACAGAACGACAATTATTATAGTAAAAATCTAATCTCTACATCAGTGATTCCCAACCACTGGGCTGTGGCACATTAGTGTGCCATGAGAGATCTTAGGGTGTAGCCTGGAAAATGATCTCATATGAAATATTTGACCTGAACGATATATAAGATTTATTATAACAAATAATTCTAAACAATAAATAAATCTTAATTTATCTGTGTGACAGGTGGAACAATTAAGTATCAATCCACAAGGTGGTAGCAGAAGTCTATAAAAAGCGGAAAGACAACCTTTGTGTCTTTCTTCAATTCCTGCAACTATTTCTGCAATGTGTTCAACTAAAGAGGAGTCCCACATGGACTAAGAAAACTGTAACATGTATGACATTTTTGTTTGGTGGTGTCACAGCTCAAAGAAGGTTAGGAAACTAAACACACAGAAATGTATTGCAATATTCTTTAGAGGGAAGTTCCTAATGTTTTTATTTAAAAAAACAAAATAAAAAAATGAAAGTAATCCAATGTACTGTGTAATAATATTAGGGAATGCAATACATTTCCATCAGTAACTGTTAAACCTTACAATTAATAACAATTAGAATCACAACTTCAAGCTTCAAACTTTCAGAATTACAGGATTTCATCAGTCAGATGTGGATTTGACAGATTACTGGTGCAGTGTGTAAGAAGTAGCATGGGAAACATCTCGAGCATGCCGAGCAAGAGAGGAAGAAAGCAAAGAATCTGGAACATTCTTATTTGACCGACTGTGTGTTGAGCTAAAAATGCCGATATAATTACAAGGCATATATTTCTATTTTTTTTTTAAATACACTTTGACATCTAATTATAATATAAAATAGACTAAATCAAAGGTGATAAGAGTCACAGAATAGAGCATGAGCTCAGGCTTAATGTTTGAAAACATTGTGACACGTTGATATTAAACAGATGTATTCATTTTAACAAATATTTCACGGTATAACTCGGAATCTAAAGGTACGATTGTGGTCACGGAATCTGAAACTGATACTGGACCTCGATGCTGCCTACCCTCCCTCCCTCGCTCCCTCCCTCGCTCACTCTTTTGAGTCTGTGTTCTCACACATTCTCCTTTCCTGCCTCACTACCATTTAATATTTTTTGCAAGGCAAACACCTCCATCTTGGTTATGGGCGGCTGTTTTATGCTGACAGCGCCGGTGAATTAGAGAATGCTTGATATTCAGCTTGTTTTTTTTCCGGTGTGCATATCTTTTCCCTGCAAAAATTGCAGACACTCATTGTCTCTCACCTTGCCGCGCCACACCCGTGGATCACAGTTTTGGGGTAGGGGTGCGGGGGGGGAGGGTATGTGTTATGTTTGTGTCATTTCCTAAATAACCCCATAGCTCATTTTTACACCGGGAACACAGACGCGAGCCTGGTACTGTTGCTTTTTCGGGTGCCGTGCATGCAAATGGTGTCATTTTTATTGGTGGAGACGGTTCGAGGTGGCTACACCGGGTGGATGCCACTCTCACTGGCTTTTCACTGCACACTTTTTTCCCCCCTTGAACCACCTCCACCTGCCTCCATGGCTCACACCTTCCCTCGTCCTATCAAAGCTCCATCCATCAACAATGAAGGATGCTGGTGCCAGCAGGGAGTGTTGGTGTTTTCTTTTCATGCAACTTCAAGAACCGGGAAGAACACAGAGTACACAGCCGCACTTGTACACACTACCTTACATACTAGTACTTCTGTGTGTTCTGAAGGTAGAGACGCATCAAAAAAGAAAACTATTGCATGTTAAATTGTACAAAGAAATAGAATGTATTTGGTGGTTCAAGACAAATAATACCATTTCATTACTTCTCTATATATGCAGAAGTAACAAAACTGCAGTAAAAAAAAAAAAAAAGTGGTAGGTAATTTTCCTCAGTGCTGGTGTTCTGCAAAAATTAGTACCATATTTCAACAGAGATGCCGAATGTGCAAATGACAAATGTTGAGCTTCGTTATTGCTTTGCAGATCTGGGGGTTTAATACTGGGTGATTGTGTTTTTGTTTTTTTTTGGCTTTTATTGTAAAGTTAAGAAATGGGTTACAGAGATCTGGAAACAATATCTTTGGTGCAAAGTATCTTCTTAGAGACCAATAGAACCATGAATGGTCATTCTCATAATCTGAGTTAGCTGTCTAATTACGCGGCAAACAATCGTTTCTCAGCCTGTAATATTGACAAAAGGCCAGTAGTAGGCGCTATCATTCAATGAGAAGATCGTGTTACTGTTATGAATATTTGAAGTGATATTCAGGAAAGAGAAAATGGCATAGATTTGTCAATTGTCTTCTTCCCATCACATTGATCTAATGGAAAGCAGAGGGAGGGAATGAGAGCCGGTTGGCTGCGACGTACGAGTTAATGAAACGAAGCAGAGGTGATTCTTCAGGTGCCTTCGTAGAAAAACTATAACCGTAAAAATGGCGGACTGTGCAGTCGGCCGCATAACCAGATATCCGGAGAGCACGCGGTTTGACTATTTCAAAGCTCGCCGGTGCTTTTTATTTAGAAAACAGAGATGTATGTTTATGGTGGAGAAAATATGTGTTTCCAGGAAAAGGCAATACACCTTAAATGGAAAAGTATGGAAAAAAAATACATGAATAAATAGAGTGGTTTTACATTTTTGTTTATAACAAAGTCAGTAGAGGAGGGTCAACTTTGTCTGATCTCATCTCTACTTTCCCCCAACTTCAATGGCTACAGCCCACTGTTGCATCCAGTGCGAGGAAGGAGCCACAGGGGGCAGCGCAGCCTGGGGTTACTGTGTAGTTTCTCTTTGAGTGTGTGTACGTTTGTACACCTTTGTGTCCAGATCACAGCAGACTTCCACCGTTTCCTTTAATATTTGAGTATATTTATTACTTGGAGAGTAGCCAGTTTGTGTGTAGGTGTGAGCGGTTGCTCACCCACACCTGCAGTACATGGTACACACAAGCACAGAACAGTCCACAGCACTGACCTCCTCATTAGCCTGCACCTCATTATGGGATTTTCCTATCAGTGTTTTCACTTCTCCGCCTCTCATGACAGGACCTCCCCGAAGCGGCGTAATAATAAGATCAGCTTAACCCCGTCGATATGACTGGCATCGAGTTAATTTCCGTGATAAGCTGCACTGGGATGGCGCTCTGATAGTCCCTGCAGCCTTATGAGA